CCCAGAAATAGATCACAGATTGAATTAAAATGTGCAAAATATGGAGTGTACAAAAAGGTGCATGCAAAGAGTGCCTGACCTCGTAACATACATGTAACTTGACAATTTCTGTTATTTATCATTGATTACATTGTATAAGATAAGCTGAATCATACATGTGTTTTGATTGGATCTTATTCATGATCTCTTAGAGGACAAATATATAGATGCCACCCTTAACAAAATCTCACTTTCTATTATAAAAAACAAATAGATTTCATGTTGCCAAGGGTCTGTACAGTAATTTATCACAAAAGATGTCAAAATGTGGTGAGAATATCAGAAACACACCTCGTGTGCCCCTTTTTTGTTCTCACCACATTTTGATATCTATAAAATGATACATGTGTTACAGACACAAAATATCACCACTTGACTTAATCTAAAGGTATATGTCTGTCCCCATAAATCAAACATAAGAACATCCTTAGTGCATGTAGGATTCTAGAAATCCTATGAAAGTAATCAAATAGCAATAAAAATGATAGCAATGATAAATAATTGTGATTTTGTATCGCACAGTCATGTAGATCTTTCTTAACCCTAACCCTAAGGCAACAGTTTCAACCCTTTACACCCTAACATACATATTCTCCCTACTGTTCTCTATACATTCCCTAAGGTGCTGACAAGAAGAATTGGTTTAACAATCAGAGCATCTGTAGGTTTTGATCATTTCCATTATTGTCATCATTACTGTGTGATTCAGGATGTACATTGTAAGGAGAAATTAGAAACTAGTCATCCTTAGGGGTTAAAAGATGAGAAAAACAAAGAGAAGACCTGAGTGTATTCTTGGTTTTCACATGACATCATCAAAATTAAAAAAAAAAATGGAATTAACAATCTTTTTGAGATTTTAGTTTAGTAAGTTATAAAAACAGCTGAAGAATTGTCTTTTTATAAAAATTTAAGTTTGATATTTGTGCAATTAAGAGGGACACAAACGTGGCGTTTCCATGCAAAGCCTTATAAAATAAAATGTGAGTAAAAATTTCTTTGAATATCTCCCACATGAAACATTGCACAGACCTGATTATTTGGGGGACTGTTTAAAAATTGATCTTCTTTTATCTGACTGTTTTGATTCTTGACTTTATTTGTTGAGTGGTTTTGATGATGGCTTGACAGTGAAAGCCGGCAATTGTAAATTCAGCTGCAAAAATGCACTGGGGTTCCTGTTACCTTAAGCTGGTTCCTCTGACAGTGCTCATTTAAAAGCATGATAGGATCTTTGTATAACACAGCTTTTCGTTGGGCTGGGTCTCCCTGTGCCATCTGTGCAGGACCACCAGGACTAACAGACCAGTGAGGACTTTCCTCTGGGGTATCATACAGACCTTAACATGACAGAATATTCAAGGTTGGATTACCATATCAGTCTCCTTCCACATTAACTTTTTATCTTTACAAAAATATGATTAGCATGTTTTGATATGCAAATCTTTTCAGAGGGACAGAGTTACAGTAACTGTGCAATTTGAAAAAAAACACATGCTACTCTCTGGAATTCTCTTGATAATCATTCCAACTTTGTTATTCCACAATCTTTTGAGAGAGAAAATCAATACTGCATCTCCTCAATTAAGTGCCCCAGGTGCTTATTCAAAATCTAAGCTAAAAAAGGGGCACTTGGAAGGAGGTTGCTTCAACCATAGGGGAGAAAGGGTAAGGAGAAGGGGGGCTTATTATCCTGTAGCTGAGGCCTAAAAAGTGATAAATGAAGTGGCAGAAAAAGGTTTTCCTTGTATCACTCCTAAAAGTGAGAAAGTGAGGGAGGAGGGGTGGGGGCGCTTATTCAAGAGGGGATGCCACCCATAACAAATATAATTAGACAATTTGGAAGTTATTTGCTAAATAAAAAGCTGTATGCAATATATCATCATCAACTTTTCAACCCTTTACACGCTCACATCAGCATGCACATTCTCCACACAGTTCTTCGTGCATTTCCTAAGGTGCAGACAAGATTGATATTGATTTCCTTTAATCTTATGACCTTACTGTGTAACCAGGGGTGATATGGTAAGGACAAATTAGATGCCGGTCACTCTTAAGAGTCAAAGGGTAAAATGACTCAGTGGATAGACTAGAGAAACATGCACCATATTACCCTCTGCAGGTTCCCAATTCATCAGAGTTTTCAACGCCACAATAGCTGCCAACTTTCTTGCCATCCTCTTTGTGGAGCTTGACTTTGGTCCAAATGTTGCCTCTCCTACAGTAACCTGAGCCTTATACAACCCAGGATACATACACTGGACATCTTCAAACTTCACCTGGCAAGCACAGTGAGGAAAGAGGCTTACCCAGTAGTTAAATTTGCTAGGGAAATCCAAGCCAATTATCACAGACTTTGCTAACAAAGAAAATATTATTAGGGAGACTTGCTTACAGACAACCTAATGGACATGTCCAATTCCTGGCATGATTGTTTCTTTGTACATTTTAATGCTATGTACATTTTCTAACACTACCAATTCAAAGGTTTTGACAAATTAATACATCACACACAGCATAACTGTCATTATCATATCATTCAGTTGGTACATTCACCATGATTAGTCAATTCAGTATGCTGTATTTCATTGTAAGGCCCACTTAAAAAAAAGAATTGTTTGAATTGAAATCTTCCCCTCTATTTGTACCCTGAGATTAAACTTGTAATAAATTTTTTACTTACCTCGTTTTCTCAGTCAGCAGTGTAAGTATATGTGTGACCGGGCACAGGATTTCGTACACTAACGCTTTTCCGTTAAATCGGTAAAAATAAACGGTTTGTAAACGGATAGTAAACGGGTAGTAAGAGGGTTTAAACCGTTTGCATGTCCGTTTAAACGAATAGTCCAACACATTAAACGATAGAGCAAAGTCCAAAAACGGATTCTGTAAACCGTTAAAAGGCTGAGAAAAAAAATAAATGGATGGCTTAAAACATTAAATGGTTGAACAGCATCTATAATTATTTTATGGAGAGCTCAAAACATTAAACGGATGGACAAAAACCTTGAACGGATGAGGAGGGCTAAAGAACAGCGGGAAGCCATGCACATATCGATCAGAAACCATTGCGAACAATTATACAAATTGTTCATGCGGAACACTGATGTTTCATGCTAATAATATTCGACCGACAACAATAGAAAACTAAGTAAAATTAAATTACTAGCCTGCAATTAAGCTATCCACTGGCGAGTGAAGCGAGCCGAGAGCGAGTCTTGCCCTGGAGAGCTCTCAATGCGTTTGAAAATTTGTATAAGCAGAGGAAGCAATCTGTCAATCATACCATGTGGACTGAACATTCTCGACAGAAAGAAAATAGAATTGAGAAGCAAAGGCGTTTTTTTTTTTTTAATGTTCCTACATTGTTTATTCTAGATATTGACTGAAATGAAAACCCACTATCAAGTGAAAAACGTTAAGAAATGCTGCTGATTTTGTAGATTTCACCGTCGGTTAATCGAAACAATTTTGCATACGCATGTAACAAAACTAAACTTTCGTTCGCTCGTGTTTAATCTAGCATTCGATTTCGTAAAGTGATGTGTAATTACAGCTTTTATAAAGCAATTTCTGTTTCCTTTCAATCGATGGAAATAACAGATGAGAAACTCGATAGCCATGGATTTTGTAAATTTTGCCGTACATGTCAATCGAAATAAATTTGCATAATCATGAAAACGGATCTCGCTCTCCTCATTAAATGGATGCAAGTAACCATTAAACGGATGTATTTTATTTTAAACGGATAGGTTAACTGTTTAAATGCTTTGTCGAAAACGTTAAACGGATGAGCAAAGCGATTAAACGGATCAAGAAAGCGTTCAAACGTTTTAATGATCCGTTTTAAATGGATGGTAAACGGATAGTAAACGGATTAATTCGTTAAACGGTAAAGCGTTAGTGTACGAAATCCTGTGCCCGGTCACATGTAATAACATGATTTCTTGTGTAATTTGGTGTAAATAAGCACTTATTAGGTAAATTTTTCAAAGACAACAAAATTGCACAATCCCCTTGGGTGAGTGCAATTTTGTTATCTTGAAACATTTCCAAGTGCTTTTTTGCACCAAATTACACAAGAAATCTGGTCATTACTCGTTAATAATTTAAATGGAAAAAGGATCACAGAAAGCCAAGGAAGCTCAAATTTTGACAGCTTACCTGCCATTTGTAATTTGCACACATCTTACACTCGTGTTACATGAAAAATGCACTCATTTTCAGCCAATCAGAAGCATGTAATTAATTCATGTATATTATTAGTTATGGAACCTCATGTTTTCCTCTTGGACTTATGGTATACCCACCTTGCCCTTTGGTCACAAATCTAAGGAGAAAAACTTGGTTTGCAACTTATAGCTCAGAGCTTGAACTTGGTTAGCAACAGATATAAGTTTTCCTTGCAAAACCCAGAAGAAATAACAATAAATATTTCTTACTCACCAGCTGACCCCGTTTTTGTCCAAATTCATTAAGCAACATGACAGGGTCCTTATCTGGTGGTGCTGACAGCTCAGTGCTCTTCATCTTTGCATGCTGCCTCCGAGTGTAAACATTTCTGCGTCTTCCAACAAACCCATGAGAGATTTCTGGCAATTCTCCTCCATTTATATTCTCTTGAAACCTGCCATAGGGTTCTACAGGAACACAAAATTAAACGTGCAATGTAAGAAATCCTACTAACAGTAGGATCAAACTTTTAGTTCTCTTCACAATCCCAAGATATTATCCAGAAAACAAGTCATGAGAAGAGACAAGCTTATCAGCTAGAGATTTGACCTCTTACCTCTGGTAGAAACAAACTCTGTAAACTAATTCACAGAGAAATGTATACCACACACAGTGCACGGGGAAGAATTATTAACAGAAAAGACCATAGGGTAAAAAAAGATTGCAAATTTGTGTACAATTATAAAATAAATGGGAGATACAGTGGTATACAATGTACGGGACACCTTTTACATGGTCGTGTCCTCATTCACCAGACTTTTCTTTGTAACTCTGTGGTAAAGCATCTCACAACAGAATCTGTAGGTCTGAGGTTTTTTTTTACTTTGTTCCAAACTTCAACTTTCTCAAATTCACAACCAAGCTCAAAAAAATTTACCACTTGTGTGCTTTACTTCTTAGACACACAAAGCTTTTAAGATAATTGTTCTTACCAGCAAGCAGGATGCATGTTCGTATGAACCTTTGTAATAACCTAGCTCATCATAAAGTTCTCTAACTCAGTGGCAAAGCAATGGAGAACCGAATTCAGAGAGGTTCGATTCCTCATGGAAACTCAAATTTTTTGTGTCCCATTCGAGTGTCAACGTGAAACAAACGTCTTTTTATTCTAAGATTTTAAGAGCTGGGTTTACAGTTTGAACAAACACTAATCTAAAAAAAGAAAATGGATGTAAGCAGGTGCTCGCAGAATCAGGAAAAATGGGAAATCATGTCTAATAATTTGAATTTTTTCTAAATATGGGCCTGGAGCAGCAGTGATGAAATTTTAGTAACTGTCAAACGCTAATTCAGAATTCAACATTTAGACACCGCCTTAAGCTGATGTCGTACAATAATCTGGGTAAATGATGTTAAGTTCTGCGATAGAGAAATGGTCAAAGCGTTTTGAGTTTCAATAACAAAGCTAATTCGACGAAATCATGCAAGGGAGCAATCTATATATGTTGCATTGGTTGTTGACCACAGACGAAATTCAAATCTATTCGATGGATACGAACTAAATTAGCCAAGAAGTAGAGACCTATGTAAACGAATCGCTTTAAAAATTGATTGTCAATTAATAAGATCTGGATGCTCATAGGAGGGAGGAAATAATTATACAGCTGCATCAGTTTAATAAAGTGCAGTGCTCGTACATATATATCTTTGCGTATGGCTTACCTCGAGCAAGTTCTTGCAGTGCCAGATCTGCGGCGTATTCCTTAGCATCCTTCTTTGTTGAAGCCGTGGCAGGAAGAAAGGCGCGATCGCCAAGTTTCGCAACGGCCACAAACTTTGGGTTATGTGGGTTTTCTGTGGAGCTGGTAGCAACTTCAATGTTCGCCAGCGCGCCACAGTGTTCACCATATTCTTTGAAAGCTGAGCGAGCGTTCTTGTTCACGAGATTACCAAACATTTCGCCTCTCTGTAGTCTCGGAGAATTGAATGAGTAATTTCGTGACAAAATCGGTCCTTGGTAGGCTTCAAAGTGTGAAACAAAGCGCTGATATGGTACGAGTCCACCACGATGGTATCAAAACATGCGTTGTCTTCCATACGTAGATCCCGTTCTCTCTCGGCCGTCAGACATGGCAATACTGGACAATCCGTATCCTGGGCACCACGTGCTTTCTGGTGCCCAGCGACGGCATCTTAGCAGCTCTTGCGTTTTGCCATGGAATTATCTTAGATAATCAAGCACCTGAAGTTTTGTAGGGCAAATATTATCACAGAGGTTCTTGTTGAACACTAAATGGGTGGTATGCTCGTACTAACATTAAAATTTTGTCAGATATAACATATTATCTTCTAAAATGCAATACCAATTCCATGCAAATTATGTTAACCAAGACCCATCTAGATTGATTTCTATCTCACAAAGGTGATAAAGCTGAACTATTCAATAAAGCTGTTAGGGGTTCTGCTCTCACTGCCAACCTATCCAAAGGAATAAAATTTCAAAATTCTTTCTTTTGGAAGGGTTGTGCACATTGATTTGAAGTACAGTACACTTTGTTTCCTTGCATCATGCTCACCTGAGTTTCTTGGCTAGGTTGTAAGGAAGTTATTTATCCTTAATTGTTGTAAACAGCCAATAGACTACTTATAATAATCATCTACTTATTTACCCATTGGGTGATCAAAGGTCATTTAGATAGGCAATAAATAGTCTAACCCACCCAGGTTTCTTGCTTTGGTCCTACAGGGAAAATCTTTGTAACCAGATTACACCCGTCTATAAATTTAATGAACCTGACTTTCGTCTTGGTCAATAGCAAAACAATAAAAAGGACCTTAGTCTGAAACACATGTCTATTCAAGGAGCTACTGCAGAGGAAAGCTTTCCAGTCATCTCTTGAACAAATTAAAAATGTCCCTCACTCTTCCTTACAAAAACTCTCAACAAGAGATGCAGTCAGACACTACATTGAAACAAATATATGTTTCTTTATTGGACCAATAGGCCAACTCTAAAGTTTTATAAATACAAAATATCAATACCAACTTAACTCTTTTGTCACAATATGCTAAAAATTTATCATATACGAAATTCATTTTAAATAAAAGTCATATATTTTCCATTATACCCCATACTTATTTGACATTAGTGACCACTGAATTCTGACGACTTAGTAAACAATTTTAAAGAAATCCCAGTTACTGAATGTTAGATAAATTAATTCCCATACTGCAAAGTTAAAACACATCTTTTTGTAGTATTTAACACTGCTGTCAAATTCCTCAGCAGACCTCTCTGGTAGACAAGGTTAGTTGATTCAAGGGTTGATTCAAGGGTTAGAGGATTCAAGGGTGATATTTGTAACCTGATTTGAATCCACACAAGTTGATTCTTCCTCATCTCAGAGGTCCATCACAGGGATTTAGTTGTGATCACAATTGACATCAGTGTAAAGTATAATTATTACTCCCATTCTACTTGCACAACAAAGCGCACAAGTTGTAAAATACAGCAATAAATTGTGATACTTAAATGCAAAGTTTTAGAATGTGATTGTGTGATACTACACATTGCTATTGACAACCTTCCAGCATTAGCAACTTGATTTTGTCTTGTCACTCAAAGGTCCACAGTGACAATTTTGAGAATGCTTTTATCTTTTACAAGTAACTCTGAGTACTTCGCACCTTTCCACCATTCTTGTACACTCTGTACTAATATTTGCACAAGGCACACAATTAAGCTCTATCTATTGAGTCAATCCAACGATCCACGTTGAATAAAGCAGCTCAAAGTTTCACCCTTAATTTCAATAAAGTGTTTCTTATACAGTGTATGGAGGCAATATTCTTTGACTATGTATAGACTGCAATAATATATTGTTTAATCCTTATACTATCTGTGAGAGTAAGTGCTCCGTCTTGGTCTGGGTAGTTCTCCAAACAGCTTCTCAGATGCATCATGAACACTACGAGCTAATGCTTTCATGGATTCTCCAATCTTACTTGGTTCAGGTATAGCAAACTGTAAAAAATAATTTAATAATATCCAGTTAGTAGCAGTCCACTGATAAGTATATGGTGACTAAGGAAAGAAAATTAATACAGGTACACAATAGTCCCAAATGAGAGATTGCTTGATGATGTCAACAGTCCCCTGTCACCTATTAGAGTGTAAATCTCTTGAAGGATACCTTTAAGCCTTGGCTGCAGCAACTTAACATTTTCATTTCCCTATAAAATAGCTGCACATTTTAAACAACAGTCTGTATCCCAAAGCCATACGGTAGAATCTGACACGTTAAACATGCACGACTTTCAACACCAACAACTCTGCTTTATAGCTTAGTTACCTCTTGATCATCCATAGGAGGAGAAATTTTCCCTGCTGGCATACTTATTGGTAGGGAAGAGGAGTATTGAGTACATTTTTGGACATTCTTTAATCCAGGATTATAGATTGGCTCTTCACTTTGAAAGCTGTTATCTGCCATGATCAAAGTAAATCAGTGTTAATCTAACCTCCATCTAGCATAAAATATGTCTTGTGGACATAGAATGATTAACTATTCATTGAAGTGGATTGGTGGCTGGTGGTGGATATATTCCGAGCTGTGAAGCAGCAAGGTACTAAAATACTGAGATCATATGTAACGCAAAAAAGATGACTTCAACTCTTTTGTTCCTACAATGATCACAATATTTCCAGGTACAAGTCCAGCCCAAATTGCTTGGAGGTGAATAGCAAAGGATATAACCCATCAGAATGTGCCTTCTACCCTATCCACTGTTTTAGTATACCATAATAAGTTAGGATGTTATTCCTAATCTCCCAAAAATTAGGAAAAGAAATTCTGTGATATTTCCTTTACATGGCCAATATCTTCTACTAACCTTTTTATTAGTGATGGAAAATTAAGAGCAGATAATGATTGAAAGTAGTCTGGTGATGCTATTTAACCAGACTATCTGTTTATTGTAAAAAGTCTGCATACAAATTTTTTGTGCATAGTCAACCAGATTAAAATGTTTGGAGAAGCACACCCATGAAAATTACCATCAGTTTTTGCAAATCCAATTGATCCCTACATGGATGTGCACATCAGATTTTTTCAATGAAGAATATCAATGTTTTCATACCACTGCTACTAAAATCATCTTCCTCTGACTCGAAGAATGGTTCACAGTCATCCGTAAAATCATCTAAAGTAAACACTGGGTCAGCATCTGATTGTATCAAGTTCTTTTGACGTGATTTGTGTGGAAGTCTTTTAGTCTTGCGAGGAGGATGAGCACCTGGGTGCAGTGGAAATTTATGAGGAGCCACCTGTGTTATGTGGACCTGGTTGACTTGGTCAGGGGGGTGGTCATTCCACCCAGGAGTTGTAGCCACTGAAAAGGAGGCAGAATGCAAAATTAGAACAGAGGCTTTTTTCAAGGCCTTAAGTACAGTGTCCACAAAGATAACAAACACTGGAACAAGTGCTTTCCTTTTTCAGCAGGATTTTAGCAAAAGTTCAACAGAAGTTTGTTGGTTTCACTCTGTATAACAAGCATACAAGAGAATAAAGAATGCAGCCACCATTTTCAAATAATATACAGTCTGGAATTTCAAAATTGTACTGAATGCAACCTTCTCAACACAAGACCTACATTTATTTCAAAGAACTAAACTTTGAACACAACTGATAAGAAATTTATGTCCTAATATACAAATATCAAGTTTGAAAGACTATTCATACCAGGTTTAAATGACATTGGGGTGTCAAAAGAACTATCTGCCATGGCTTCATCCAGAGAACTCTCCATGGCTTTTTCTTCTTCTCTTTTGATAGCACTGTTGTTAAAAAAAAAAACAGCAACTTTACTATGAGTAATGACTTTCACATGACTGACTGATAACGAAACTGAAACAACTTTGACCTCTGACAAGCAAATCAAGTATTTTCAATTGGACACCATTCTGAAATCACAGCGAAAGGAGTGAAAATCAAAAGGATGTTACATACCAGTAGACAGCTTTTTTATCCTTGAACACTTGAGCTTGAAGAGCTGTAAATGCTCTCTTCTGTTCAGCAACAAATTTTCTACATGTGCATAAAATCAAAAGAACACATGACTAAAGATCAACAACAATCACAATGATTCACAAAATATTCAAAAACTTGTTTTAGTCCAGTTTTTCAAGAAAGACAATCCTCAGCACCTGCCAGTGATTTCTTTTGCACATCACAGATGACAAGGAATAACAAAGGGACTATTACCGTATTCTTTCATTCATTGCATCCTCTTCAGCTTGTAGGAATTTTTTTACTTGTTCCTGTACACTAACCATGGCAACAGGTATCCTGTCTTGACCCAGCAAAATGGCGTTTCCTGCAACTGATCAAATAGTTTTCCTTGTTTATAATCAGAAACACAACCAACTACACATTCAAATGTAATCAAAGCTGCTACTGCTTTATATGTAATATTCACAATATAAACAGGTCACTCTTCAGAAAATAACTTTTTTTTTAAACAAAACAGTATCATAAGTAATCATTAACCATAAAAGGTACAGCTAGTTTGATCTTGTGACTTTATGATCAAAGAGCAGTCACATTTGTGTCACATGTCACTAATATCCTGACTTCATAGTTTCAGACTTCATAGATAGGTTCACAGAGTAAACACAATGACACTTTGAAATCTAGATGGTGTGATGTTTTCTAGCTTCAGTTTCAATATAATGGAAGCTGTATCATCCCATTTCCCCACAATTTTCAAAGGAAACTTCCCATGGATTTCTCCTTTACATCAAAGAAGGTTAAATATCATTGAACACTTTTCAGATCAAAATTAGAGGAATTCAAAACTGTTCATACAGAGCAACTACCTCATTTTCCTTACAACTCTCATCAGAATATTTACATATTGTAGCGACGTACCATGTTTAATCTAAAAAGTGTCATATCTTTATTTAGAGCAATGGAAGTAGACCACAAAGATTGTCAGAGTGCAATTTTAATGGTATGATGGTAATGGGAGGGGTGTGGGGACTTCTATTTTTGCTACAAATTTAGTTGTACCCTTTTTACTGTCATTGCATGGAAATATTAGGAAACCAAGTGGCTATGGCAGCTGGACCTCTGGACCCTGGGTTCAGAAGTCAAGGTGTGCAAGTTGTCTTCTTGGGCAAGGAACCTTGCATCACTCTTACAATGTCACATCATCTACCCAGGAGAAGAAATAGACAGGGAAGCCTGAAAAACAAAGGGGTAACCCAAAGCAGACTGACATCCCATCCAGGGAGAGTAAGCTCATATATCTCTCCTGGCCAAAGTGTAGACTTTACACTTTTAACCCTTGATATGTGAAGGTATGACATTTTGGAAAGGCACTTTGACAGACCTAGAAGAACTTAAGTTTTTTGTATTCTGCACATCAATTTACCAACTCTTGTTCATGACTGTGCCAACTTCACATGATGTAAACAGACCCTTGGTGCAATGAAAGTTAATGCTTGATATACCACTAAGCTAATTCAAGGAATATATTGGAAGATGTTTCTTAGTTTTAAATCTCACAAGAAGAAAAATGTACTAAAATGGTTTAATTAAAGCACAGCTACACAAAGATGCTAAACCTAATCACTCACATGAGTTATCCCCAACATCTGGATCATTATCTTTTGCAGGCTTTAGAATAAGTTTGAAGATTGAAGAATATTCAGAGGAACTGGCACTTTCACTGTGGACAACTGGATCACTCTGAAAAATACAACAAAAGATGAAGATATTATAATTTGATGGTCTTCATCAAGCTTCAAATAATGCGATGAACTACTTCTTTCTTCACAACAAAAAACTCTCTCTATATGGGAACCTTGGTCAGCCCAAGGTTATTTTTATTAGATGTTAGAATTGTGAGTATGCCAAATGGACCACGTCAATATTGACAATTTTCTAGGACAAAGTGGATACATAATAAACACCAGAGAACACCTGTTCATTTGTTGAATCAAATAGCAGGTACAGGAAAGATGATAGTTTCAGGTCTATCCAAAGAGTTTAGCTAAATAAGAAGTCTGGAGATGCAAGATCAACCCTGAAACCCATTTTCTGCCTTTAAAAGCACACACAACCCACAATTCCTCTATTCACTCCAACGAAGGGCTAACGCTCGAAACATCAGCTTTTGTAATCGTTACGGTGGCCAATTTACCGTTTCAACTTTGTTCATATATCCAAATTTTTTCAATCTAATCCTAAAATAAGCACCAGCAGTTAACAGGTTGTGTTCCACCGGATTCATATCTATAGCAACCACAACAAAAACTGGTTTTGTAGGTTTTCTAGCTTTGCAAGAATACGAGAAGGAGTAACATCCTTACCTCCATTCCTCTATTTATTAACACTCGATCGTACTTTTTCACGGTATGTAGGGCATGTGTGTCCATGTTGCAGTTTATACAAGTGAAAACATCCCAGTCTTCAGCTTGGGTTTCTCTCACAAGACTTCCAACTTCCTGGATTAAACCACAGCAGAGAGAAAAAATTTTGTTTCGAGATACACAATATTTAATACGAGGTCATGGGGATGTAAACCCAGAAAAATCAAATGATCACTACAAAAGCAGTACATAAATGTAAATGCATGGGACTCGAAAGCAATCTAAAATACCCTTTCTATTTATAGATGCAATTAGAAAATACAAGGTGTAACGAAATGAAATGGAGAACATTTTTAACTCTTCATATCGGAGGCAAAAGACAACATAGGTGTTCGGCATCGCAATTGTTTGCTGATATTTAGCTTGGCTATAAACATTGATATTAGTAGCTGTCTAACAGAGAGGTTGACTTGTAAGACATGTCGTTCATCTTTGTTCGCTGGTGTAGAATTTCCTGTCAGTAATCCAAGACTCCTATGCCAGAAGTCTGATGCAATAAACTCGACGGGTCACGGGGCAAACTTCCTGATACCGATGAAGGGAAATGCGACGATAAATGACAAGAAATAAGAAGCGAAGGAGAAAAATTGAGACGGGTACCGCGGGTTTTACTGGAAAAACCGCGCCAAACCTTTGCAGCTTTTTCAATGATGGTACAGAGCTCGACGCAACTTTAAAATATGCCTTTATATGCACTGTATCTGGATAGTACAATTAAGGCACAAATTACCTTTGTTATTCCCCCAACGGCAAGTTCAACTTCGTACAGCTCCTTGGTAAAGAAAGGTTCAGAGCAATTCTCAGAGACAAACGCTGTTCCTTCCGCTTCGCGAGTGGCTTTTTCTTTCACATGTATAGTGACATTTAGACACTTACACTTAAACTTGCTCATTTTGTAGAACGTTTCAGTCAATTACAGTTTCTTTCAATGGTTCGCCTTCGAGTATTTCAGACAACAAGCTGGGTAATTGCACTTGGTACGGAAAAAAATTATTTTTCAAGCAGACTGTAAATCCCGTGACACGAATCTCGTGACTTGGTGGGTAAAATGATAATTCAATATCAACCAATCAAAATTCACGCTTGGAAAAATCCAACCAATCAGAAATTCCCTCAGCTGAGACAAACCCAAGCAAACAAGTTAGTAATTATCCTATCAGCTGATGGACCAAACCTCCTAAAACATAGCCAAATATTTAGCATACCTGAAAATTAAGATGCTGAAAAAAATTCTCATTTGTCCAGAGACGACCTACTTTCTGACATTTGGTAAGAACCTGAATTTATGACAGTTCAAGATAGGGAGCCACTCGTTAAAATTTCAAAATGTTTATAATTAAATCAGGTCTGGCAACTGTCACCTTGGTTAACCTTTTGTGACCTGCTGTGTGTTACTGGACCAAAGTTTACCCACACTATCCAATGAATGATGAAAATTAATGAATAATGAAAAGGTTGAGCCACTGAATAACAAATCCAGCTTGGTCTATGTTCACAACATAATAGGGTGTCCAACCATGTGGCAAATCTGTAAAAAAATGGCCACAATTAGTTTCAATTTTTTTTTTTTTTTTTTATTTTCAATCTATACTAATGTACAATGTAATGTACTATGTAAACTGACAAACTTGACTTTGAAATGAAGAATAATTAAAAGCACTCTGTCTCTTGCTGAATTATCAGTTTGATGTAGTTTTGGTTAACTGTTGAGTGTCCATAATATGAAGCATGGCTGTCTTGCTCCATACATACAACAATTCCATTGCTCTTCCTGGAAAAACAAACAAGATGAACCATAACAGAAAAGACAGGTTAAAAGAAGTCTATTGCCACTGTAACAATCTTTCCATGTCTATCTCCCAAACTCAATGTTAGTTGTAGTTTTGGGAGAGTTTTTGTACATAAAGTAGCCAATTATTTCATAAAATGGCTTTTCTTAATCTTTTTTAGTAATACCCCTAATCTGTGGAACCCGTAATAAGCAGCAACTCACAGAGAATGTCAGGGAAACCACTTTTAAAAAAGAAATACTGATTGCTTATTATCAGCATTATCATTATTACTATTATCATTATCATTACTTTATAACATAAATAAACATAGAATGCATCGTCTGATTGGTAAATTCAGTTTCCGAGCAGATCATGCTTTATCAGGATATAGAGCCTACATTTGATTGGTGACAACTTAATTATAGTGATATCATAAAAGCAATAAAACACATTTTCTCGGCTCTGTAATGTGATAACGCCACTTGGGATGTTGAGGGAACACTAAGAAATCACTGGTCTTTAGCTCTTGATTTATAACCTTTCCACATGTTCTCCCACCATCTTGGATGGCTTTATCACATTAGAGAGCCTGGAAAAATGTGTTTTATTGCTAAAATTGGGCAAAAAGAAATAAAAGGATTTGCAAAATCCCTGGTGACCACAACGTCAACATGGGAGGAGTCTAAATTTGGTAAATAAAATACCCTGTTAATTCACAGTGGAAGTAAAAGCTAACTTGGACTAACTTTTCACTACAAACATTCCAAATGGCTATTATGTTACATCTTTAATAATCATGTAATTTGGTGTACTTCCCCAAAACTATCATGCTAACCATATCATTACAGTAACTGTTAAGACTTGTTCTGTAATAAAATACATACATCAAAAATTGAATGGACAGAAATTATCAAACTCAGTTTGTTTAGTTCATCTTTAACCAATGAAGTCTGTAATTGTACATTCCTTTTTACAGTTAAAAAGTGGCCTAGATGACAGTAATTTGTTACTCTGGCTTGTCTTTAGGAATGCTTGACTGCAAGCTGTTGTTATTTTGTCAAAAGATTGATGGATTTCAGAAAATGAAAAATGGGCTAAATATGTAATAAATAGATAGACACAAAATAAATATTCAGCCACAATATATAGAACTGCACTGATGAGGCCTGGAAGGCCAAAACTGCACTGACTGCAGTTAGATATAGCTCTTTGGCATTACAAAGCTTTGCTTTCATGTCCAAATTAAGCATATAAATACTCAGTGTCAAATAATATTACACTGTAATAAACTTAAACCTTTGTCACAGGCTATGCATGCTAAGCTGGAAGCTACTGTTTCAACTGAGTGTTCCAAACTTAATTTGGCTTAGAATTTTTAATTACAATGTACTTTTGAATTTTAATTAACATGTTACCCATTGATCCTTTTGACCCAAGTGACGCCAATCCTTGGTTAAAATGGCTGACCCAACTTTAATAATCACTACCTCAACTACAGTTACCCAATATACCCACAACCTCGACATGCATGCAACTTAGCTCTTTAGGTTTACACTCTGGGACCCCTCGTCATGCATCTTACATAACATATTACACCTAATGATGATTCCTATTATTTAAACCCTAGTTCATAAACACTATAACAAATATCACCCCTGAATCCCACATCAAGCTTGTGAGAATATAAAGGAAATAATCAGTAACTATAGATGCTCTTTGTTGTTAAAAAAATTCTCCATGTCAGCACCTTGGGAAATGCACGGAGAACAGCATGGAGGTGTAAATATATAGAACTTTTGTTGTGCAGTATTGCTGTGTATTTTATGAGTTGTGCTGTATTTTGACATGCCTGTAGGGTGAGTCAAAATACATGAACAAGTAAAAATACTCAGCAAGACTACACAACAAAACGTCTTATGAGATATTTATTACCCATCATGCTAAATTCAATTTGTTATTTCAGTGTGGGTGAATTTCGTGGATATTTATTTACAGGGAGTGTGACAGAATTGTCCGCCATTTTATTTCCCTAACTTCAATCCAATTCATCGCTTGCGTGATACTAGGTAACCTGTCTAACTGGTTCTCTGGAGTACAAATACCACCAGATATTTGTACTTGTTTTGGGCTTGTTAGATCATGCACAGATAAGGGCAGCAAAGATTGTCTTGAAGACCTAAGATTCAGACACTGAGAAGAATTTGAAGTGGCTACCCTTGTCTTTGGGCGTGATATGCATACTATTAATTTAACTTTCAAATGCTTAAAGGGATCTCCTCCAATGTTTTTTAAAGATTATTTTAAGGTTTTTAGAACTATCCACAACGAGGGAAAGTGGGAAGAACTTAATGCTTCCCATGGTGTGAACTGAGACTGCAAGGAAGTCTTTTTATTTTAATGGATCGAAACTTTTTCATGACATTCCTAATGAACTGAAGGATCTTAACTCAGTCATGATTTTTAAAACTTGTATTTTAGAATTCTATAGATCACAAGCTTTTTAATTACTTTTAAAGTTGGTGACTGTATTTAGGTTTTGTTGTTTTTGTTGCAGGGCCCTTATTGATATCAGCATTTTGTGCTGAAGAGGTCACCCTGGTTANGAATGATATTAAAACCCGGGTACTGTCTCTTGAGCTCTAGACAAAGCAGGGTGTACTTCATGATCTTCTCCTCGTCTTTGTGGTCCCGATTTTCTACTCATGGGCAGCTCATCTCCAGTAGTGTAACCGTCTTGGTCGCCTTGTCCACTATCCAACCATCTATCCTGTTGGCCTGACTTCCCTCTGGTCTGCAAAGACTGGAACATCCCAGTATGCCGTCACCTTCTCTCCCTTATAGATGGGTTTGGGTTGGGTGGGTGAATACCATGGAGGTACCGTGTTATCAAGTCCATGATCCCTCAATAGCTCGAAAAAGAAGATCTTAAATGCCGCGTTGTGCCTAGTAAGGTAAGCGCACTACACCCTGCGAGCAAATGTGCCACACTCTCCTGTCCCTTCCCGCATAGTCTACACCTCAAATCCGAGTCACCGCTCATCTTAGTTTTTCTGGTGCTATAGACCTTTGTCGGGAGGAGCTGTTGGTATAACTCCTCAAGTGCTGCTATTGTGTATGTGGGAGCAGTTCTCCATTCACACAATAGTGAGAAACAGCTCCTGTCGAGCTGATCGTCTTGCCACCAATTGGCCACTAACTTGCCTTGCCATCTCTGTTCTTCGATCCCCTGGCGACCCTTAGTGTACAAGGCTCTCTTGGCGAACACTTCAATCTTCTTCTTGTCAACCAGTTCCCCTTCCTCTGTCTGGCCAACTGGCTCTGGGTGCTCTAGTTCGAGCTCAATCCCAAGCTCCCTTGCAAAACCACTCGAGTCCTTCAGCATAGAACGTCGCCCCTTATCGACAGCCCTCTCTTCAAACTCTCGTAACAGCTTTAACGTTGGGTCTGTATTTGCACACAGTTTAACCATGGCCTTGATCTTAATTAACTTATACTCAGATTCTACCGACTTGAGTTCCTCTTCTGCCTGAACTCCTAGGGATGTAAAGCTGGTCTGTGGATGCCAAGGGATGTCTCGCACCATTCTCTACCATAATTTTTGGTGTCTCCCGGTCAATTCTTTGAAGGTCGGCGATTGGCCACACTTGGGTCCACATGAAATAGCTCATGACAGGGAGCGCAAACTGGTTGGTTGCTAAGACCTTGTAGTAGTCAGATAGGGGACTTGACCATACTACTGAGAGCTGCTTCAGATACTCTTTCTCCGCTTGCTCCAAAACCAGGCGGTCTTGTTGTTTAACGTTCTCCAATACTCCCAGAAACGTGTACTGTGTGTACAATTATTATTATTATTATTATTATTATAATTATTATTATTACTATTATTATCATCATCATAGCAGAAAATTCAACTGAATGCTACATTCTAATCAAGCAACATAGGGCAAAAACTGTAACCTGTGAGCCATGGAGTAAAAAATAGATGTACATTAACTAATCCTAAAAAGCTTTCACGTTGTGTCTACCGTCCTCCTTCTAACAGGAACTCAAACTGCCACCTTGAAAGTCCGGGCAATATTCAGTGTGCCCGAGAGCACTGCCCTCTGCATCTTTCGCAGTACGTCTGTGCTTCTGCCTCCTACCAGCTCGCACATCATGACATCCAGCTCCCATGACCACCACGCGAGGGCATCCATTATGATGTTATATTGCTTCACCTTGTAGCCTGGGAACTGCTGCCTTAGTTCCCAGCAAAGGGGTCCATACTTAGTTGTCTTCTCTTCATCCTTTCCTGTCCGATTGTTAACCCACGGGCAGCTCATTTCAAGCATCACAACTTTTTTTACTTTTTTTTAAATTACAATTTAATGGCAATGATGACAGTAACTCAATCTAAATGTACAAACAAACAAAGCCATAAGGATAATCTGTAAAAGAGTGGAGCACTCCATGCAAGACCGATCCCCGTGTAGCTAATCTAAATAAGTCAAATCTACAATTTACAATGCGTGCATCCGCCCTACTGCATCTGATCTCTTGTTGATCAGTGTATATAGGGACAAGGGACATCCCAATAAACTTTAACATTCTATGACTCATACACAGGCTTGGGCTTGTCGGGTGAGTACCAGGGTGGTATCTGGTCTATAACTCCCTTATCATACAACAGTTCGTAAAACAGTAACTTCAGTGCTGTGTTGTGTCTAGAGAGATACTTGCGTGGACCAGCGCACTACATCCGGACAAGATATGAGCCACGCTCTTTGGAGTCTTCCCACATAAGACTGCACCTCGCTCCGCCTTCCCCCCTTGTGTGGGTCTTCTGACTCATGTATACTCGCGTTGGCAAGAGCTGCTTGTAGAGCTCAACGAGTCCAGCAATTGTGTGTGATGGGCAGTTCTTCCACTCTGTGAGCCACCAGAAGCACCCATCGGCACTCAAACTCTCATCCTCTAGCATGGTAGTCACTAGACGCCTTGCCATTGTTAGTTTCTGATCTCATCCTCTAACTTCTCAATTTGGCACCTCTGACCTCCTTCTTAATCCCTGGCATGTGTTCCAAATCCAACTCCAGCCCCAACTCCTCCACCAGCGCACTTAGCCACTTTTTTAAAAATGGACCTACGGCCCATCCTTGCTGCTTGCTCTTCAAACTCCTGTACCATTCCCAGTGCACGGTCATCATTACCATGGAGTCTGACTGCACCCTTGATTTTTGTGGCTTTGTAGTCTATTTCAACTGAACGTAATCCCACCCTCCTTTACTTCTTGGCATATACAACAATGCATTCAAAATACATGGGTGTCTACCCCCACTCTCTACAACAATCTTGCACGCTTCCCTATCGATCTGCTTAAGTTCCATCACCGGCCACTGCGGTGTCCACATAAGATATCCAAGAACAGGCAATGCAAACTGATTTGATGCCACCACCCGATTATAATCGGACAGGGGACTTGTCCAAATAACTGACAATCGTCTGAGATACTCTTTTGCTGCACACTCCAGGACCAACTTATCCTCCTGCCTAATATTCTCAAGTACTCCAAGGAACTTGTACCGCTCACCATCATTAAGACATGGTATTCTAGTCGACTCCGCAACTCTCCCCCCTGAGACAGCAGTCACTTGTACCCCCCTTTTCACATGGGCCACCGCACACTTCTTTAGGTTCCACTGAAGCCCCACATCCTCCATAGATGACTTAATTAACCATCTTCATAACCCGTTCAAGCTTACTCTCCAATGCAGCAAAGATCTTGAGGTCATCAATATACAAGAGTCCCGTAACCTTGCTGTTAATAGGTTTGGACATCCAGTATCCTTCAGCAGCTCTGATCTTCCATGCGACTGGGTTCAAGCATACGGTGAACAGCCTCGGGCACAATGCATCCCCCTGTCGTAACCCTCTGTTGAACTTAATCCTTTCAGAGGTCTGTCTCCCTTCCCTTGTGATCGCCACTACCTTTGTGTTCCAGCTCTTACATAGTTTGGCAATGACTTTACACAACTATGTGGGAAACCTGTGCAACGTCATCAACCCATTCATCCAACTATGATCTACAGAATTGTACGCCTTTTTAACATCAATCCAGGCCACGCTCAAATTCCGCCTCCTCCTATGACAATCCAACGCAACCATTTCATCGATCAATAGGTTGTCTGTTGTTCCACTGCACCCTGCACATGCCCTTCTCTGCACACCCTCCATTAGATCGTTCTCCTCCAGATGCTGGTTTGTTGTAACAAGCAGACACAAAATGAACCACTTACAAAGCATGTTTAGACAAGTGATGGGGCCGTTGGTTGTCGCTGGAAACCCTATGGGTTTTGGGCTTAACATTGTTTTCCCTTCACAAAACCATGCTGGATGCTCTTCTTCATGCTCGGAGATCACACGGAATGATGAAATAACACCCTCATGCAGCACATGGGCACGTTTCCACCAAAAGTTGGCGATATGATCCCGTCCAGGTGTGCTCTAGTTCTTCTTGCGCACTAAAACATTTACAGCCTCACTTGTAACTAGGTCCCAGGCCTCCTCCACTAAAGGAGGGACGCGATCGTGAATAATAGCTCTCAAGTCATGTAGCCATTCTGTGCTTCTGTTTCCAGTTCCCTTCCCATAATTCCTTCCAAAAGCTACTTGCTTCTTTGATATTAACGAACACCTTTTCTATTTGCTCATCCCGTTTCCCAGGGTCTACATATATTGGACGCTCACTCTCTTTGTCGTTAGCCATAACTCTTCTCATGCCCGCCTATACCAGGCTAGTATCATCTTTAAATTGTTGATTAATCAACCTTGCTTCCTCTAGCTTGTTGCCTTGCACAAAGCCTTTCTTCAGTTTTCGTAAAGAGGATTTCTTCTTCTCAATATACCCGACAAGTGATGCTATCGATAACGTGTGGCATTCCTTCTGCAAAATATCCTGGAATAATAATAATGTGGCGGCAAGTAGTGTGGACGTGTTTTAGAGTGTTCTCATAAAAATCCGTTCCCATTGAAAGCAAGCCAAGTTTAGAGCGCCATTATTATTATTTAGACAGGTGAAAACGAGCGATATAATATCATGACATTTCGGTGACTTCATGACGCCATTATCAAGGGTACAAATGAAAGTAAAATTAACAAATGCGTTATCATTATTATTATTATTATTATTATTAATTGTTATTATTATTATTGTTATTATTGTATGAACATACAGTTTTCCAGACGCTTTGACAAAAAAAAAACATTATAGTTTTCCAGACGCTTTGACAAAAAAAAAGGAGTAGATGTGAGCCGAAAGTGAGTTATTTTGGATCATTTTTTACGCTGTTGATATTTTGTAATGTAGAGGATTTTATGGAAATTATTGCTAAATAAAGATTGTTCTTATTCTACACTTTATTGAGCATCCCTGAAAAGGGCTTTTCAGCATCAATATTAAAAATAGTAAAAACTAAATAAATAACTTAATAACTATATACTTTCATATTACTTGTATATTACTTAATTACTATATGCAAACAACAATTAACATCAAAAATCGTTCATGTTACAAATCAGTTCCTTATTATAATTGTAATTAATTATTTTTATTGTAAATATTGTAATTAATTATTATTGTAAATACTGTAAATAACAATAATTATCAATATTATTTGCACTCTACTAAGCAGTCAGTTGGATTATAAAATATAGCAGAGCATGTAAAGGGTTAACAAACTTGTTAAAGTTCTTGAATACCTTAAACTGTCACTAAGTATAGTTCTTTGATTCCAGTTGGGAATGACACTGGAAGTCTCAGTTTTCCTTTCTATTTTAAACACATTAACATACCAAGCAACAAGAGGGTAAAATAATGTTCATTTGACTCTATGTAAGAATGAAATACTTAATACGCATTTAGGGAACATTCTTTTCAAAACTTACGTAAGTTTTCAATCATTACATGTGGCTCAAAAGAATCTGGAATTTCACATGAGTGGGTTTCTAATGTTCAAATATAAACTTCATGATAAATCTTTTGGGATTAAGGTCAATTTTGGAATGTATGAGCCAGGCTTGCAAAAATTTAGGTGACTGTGAAGAATTAATTAAGATAAAGGGCAACTAGAGGCGGTATTGGATAAACCCTTCCTCACTAAGACTTCTAGTTGAAATATATGATCATCCTTTACATCTGAACAAATATCTCGAAGGCCTTGAGCTAAGTTGAGTAGGTAGTCATAGTTTGTTCCACTAGGGCCCTTGGAATGCAAAATTTGGTTTGCAATCTCTGTTAATGGTGCAGGTCCAAGATAAAATTCATTCTGAGGTGTTGCAATGTAAAGCTTTGTTTCAAAAGGATCATGGCAAGTATCTTGAGGATGGAATGTTACCCATGTTGCCTTGTAGCCATTCTTCTCTCGGAAGTCAAGGTAGTCAATCACACTGGGTATATCCTTTGCTGCAATTTCATAGGCAATTCCCCAAACTTTTTCCTGTCAGTCATTGAGTCAAAATACGTAAATAAATAAATTTTTTTTTTGGATTTCTCATAGTGGAAGCCGCGGGTTTC